CAGTGCATCAGCCTCTCTAGAGCTGCAGTGCATCATCCTCTCTAGAGCTGCAGTGCATCATCCTTTCTAGAGCTGCAATGCATCATTTTCCAGTGCATCAGTCTCTAGAACTGCAGTGCATCAGCCTCTAGAGCTGCAGTGCACCAGCCTCTCTAGCGCTGCAATGCAACAACCTCTCTAGAGCTGCAGTGCATCAACCTCTCTAGAGCTTCAGTGCATCAACCTCTCTAGAGCTGCAGTGCATCCACATTTTTAGAGCTGCAGTGCATCAACCTCTCTCTCTAGCAAAGGATAATCAGGCTACTATAAACAATTCAAGAGAAGTCAGGTAAGGAGGAGGACCCTAAGGCAGACATGCATGGATCACCTCAGGAAGGGAAAATGGTTAAGAGCTCCTGGGTAAACTGGGAAGGGGGTAGAAGGTTGGGGATGAGGAATGGGAGTATGAGGGATCTGGATGGTCAGGTTGGAGTAGGGATGAAAAGGGAGAGCAATGAAAGAGATATCTTGAGAGAGCCATTATGGGGTTAGGGAGAAAGCTGGTGCTAGGGAAATTCCCAAGAACCCACAAGGATGACCCCAGCTAAGACTCCTAGCAATGGTGGAGAGGATGCCTTAATTGGTCTTCTTCTGTAGTCAGATGAGGTCTACCTTAATTGTCATAGAACCTACTTCCAGTGACTGATGGAAGCAGATGCAGAGATCTACAGCCAAGTACTTGGCTGAGCTCCTGGAGTTCAGTTGAAGAGAGCGAGGAGGGATTATATGAGCCAGGGGCATCAGGACCATGATGGGATAAAAACACAGAGACAGCTGATCCGAGTTAGTGGGAGCTCACAGACTCTGGACTGACAGCTGGGGAGCTTGCATGGGATGAAACTAGGCCCTCTGAATGTGGGTGACAGCTGTGTGGATTGATCTGTTTGTGGGGTCCCTGACAGTGGGACCAGGACTAATCCTGGTTATATGAACTGGCTTTTTAGAGCTCATTCCCTATGGTGGGATGCCTTGGTCAGCCTTGATGCAGGGGTGAGGGGCTTGGTCCTGCCCCAACTGAATGTACCAGGCTTTGTTGACTCACAATGGAGGCCTTACCATCTATGAAGAGTAGATGTGGGAGTGGAGTGGGGTAGGGATGAGAGCAGGAGATGGGGAGGGAGGGGGAACTGTGGTTGGTATGTAAAATGAAAAAAAAAATCTTGAATAAAAAAGTGCCTAGTACAAGGCTTCCCAAGAACTGAGGAAGGCTATAGATTGAATGTTCAATGTCTTTGCTTGGATTTACTGACCTTCACTTTGACTTCAGCAACATTCAAAGCTTGTGCAAGTTCCTTCCTGTGGAAAGAAAACCACAAATGTTTAGCAGGCAATGTTTCACATGAACTGCAAAGTCACAAATGATATCTATGCTTTTTTAATATTGCTGTGCTCCCTCAGACCCCATTTAACTTTCATTCTCAGAACTAGTCTTGCTTTTCCAATGGTTTTACCTCTTACAAAAGTTTCTAAACAATAGAGATGAATAATTTTAACACATTATTAAAAATTAAAATTAAAAGCCAAAGTGTATGCTGAGCAAATTGTACTAAATTAAAAACAGCACCAGGGGAAGGGAAAAGGAAACCAAAAGAAATTGATGGATAGGGACACAGTCCCTGAAAAGATGACGAGGCTACTGGTGAGGAGGTCACAAAAGAAAGTGTAAATCCTTAACACTGGTGAACTTTACACTAGTGAGTATTTTGGCACACTATACTCATGTCTCTATATTTTACAGAAATTAAAATATGACAGGAAACTCCTGGTGTTGACTATGTACACTTGTTTCAGTTCAACACTACACGCTAATACTGATCTTGACCCCTACACAAGGCACCCTCCTGTACCCACCACCGAGGGAGAAGACAGCAGTGGCTTAGGGAGGGATGATAGGAAACCACGGCCTGGAAGAACAAAAGGACACCTCAACCTGAGACAACAGGGAGGTTGGGGATAGCTCCTGGTGCCAGACACATTCTTGGCAAGTGCATCTGGATACTGGGTTTCTTTGAATATTTTTTCCATTTCCTCAACCTGCCCCAGTGTGAACTGCAATGTGGTTCACTGCCGCCTTCATGAGGAATGGTGCCTCGGAACCCGAATCACATGCTCGGCTGAGGGCCTTGGCTCCTCCTGGTGATGCTCTGACGAAGAGGAGTTCGGGTCCCTACTGTTCTCCTCAGAGTTGTTTTGGCCCTCACGGACCTGGCGGCCCCCGTTATTTAGTGCCATTACGCAGCAGGTGTCACCTCCACTAGAGTTGCCACCCACCATCGCCAAGGCAGCCTCTAAGGTGGGGACCTCAGATATATCCTCACCATTCTCATTTCTCACAACGTATATATATCGTCAATAGAGCTTGCGGGCCATGACTAGTAGTGGGCCGAAGCCACAGAGAGAAGTGGGGCCCCAGGAATGCCCACACTCAAGGCCTATTGTTCGGTCAGTCTCTACTATTGATGGGGCGTCAAGAGAGGGGCTGAGGAAAGGGTGACGTCAATGTGTCCTTCTGCGCATGCTCCACACTTCTCCATGTTCCTCACGGTTGACGTCCACACGCTCCTCTCCAGAAGGGCGCCATAGTTTTTTCCCTCCCTGACTGACTGCTCTGGGCTTTCTGAACTCCTGATGAGGTAGGTGGTATTTGCTTTGGTGCACAAATGGTGGGTGTGGCCCAAAGATGAGGAACTGAGGGAGCCACTGTGAACAGGCTTGTGAAACGTCGTGTGAAATTAAACCTTACTTCTAGGGCATGCGTGTAGAATGAGTTTTAGCTTGTGTCTGTGCGCATGCGCATGCTGCCTGTTCCTCCTAGGTTGTAGAGATGACACTGAAGGGTGAATTGTGTAGCATTGCAAGATAATTGCGGAATAGAGTATGGGAGAAAGGTGGGAACACACACAGACCACAGGACCCTTGGGTGAACATGTAGAAAATTTCTGTGGACCTCACCCTCCACCTACCACTGCTGCTCAGAGAATGGGCTTAGAACTAAGTAGACATGATCAGCTTAGTGGCTGCTAGTACAAGAGTCCCTGGTAGTACATTGAATGCTAGCTAGCCATTCTTCTTCAAGCTCAACATCAAGATCTTGGGACTGGGTTTGAATATAATTCTAGTTAATGGCACTGTCAAAAACCAAACAAAAGACACTCCCTCCTCTCAAAAGAAAAATGATCTGTTTGAGAAATAATTACCTCAGATTATAATAATTTTATAATCTCTGATAAATTCCACATGTAATAGTTGCCTCAGTTCTTATCACTGAGGATGTTGATGCGGTCCTTTCTGTTGGATTGAATGTAAATACATAAATATTCAGGCAGTGTTTAAAACAATATTTGGCATGTGACATATGGCATATGGTACCGTTCAGAAAAGTAATATGTGCCTGAGTTAGACACTGTTGGAAGTGGGGAGGGTCAGTACCACCCTTCCTGACAGATTCCCAGAAGTAAAGAAAATTTTGCCTTGTTCAGGATTACAAATTTCTCCTGAAAAGATACAAAGAGGAGATACTATTAATTTATTTAGGATATAAAATAGATCTACAAAAAAATAGACCCCAAAAGGTACAAATTAAGAAAGATTAATTACAGACTCTTAATGACTTTCAAAGATTATTTGGAGACATTTCCCATCTATGAACTGTTGGAGAGGTAAAAAATGATGAATTGAATAATTTGTTCAAAACCTTAGAAGGTGACAAAGATTTAAATAGTTCAAAAAATTATCTGCTGAAGCTAAGAGAGAATTGGCCTTGGTGGAAAAGAAAGTACAGGAAGTACATGTGGATCATGTGGATCCAAAACTTGATTGCATTTTGGTTATTTTACCCTCTAAGCATTCTCCTACAGGAATTTTAATGCAGAGGGAAGCTATTATATTGGAATGGATATTTCTACCAAATAAACAGAGTAAAAAATGAAAAACATATGTGGAAAAGATCTCTGACTTGATTTTAAATGGAAAATTGAGACTTTGTCAATTAGCAGGAACAGACCCAGCAGAAATTGTAGTACATTCAACTAAGAATGACATTGAAAAATTATGGGTAAAAAGTGAACCTTGGCAAAAATCTTGCAGTAAATTTGGGGAGGGATTAGCAGCAAATATCCCAAAATTTATAGAATTCAACTTATAAAGAGAACTGATTGGATTCTGCCTCACATTGTATGGGAAATACCCATATCTGGAGCCTGTACATTTTATACAGATGCAAACAAACAAGGAAAGGAAGGTCACAATTCAGAAAATTTAAGTAAGTGGTTCAAAATCCTTATAATTCAGTTCAAAAATCAGAATTGTATGCTATTCTGATGGTATTGACGGATTTTTTGGAACCTCTCAACATAGTTACTGACTCTCAGTATGATGAAAGAGTGGTATTACATATTGAGACTGCAGAATTTACCCCTGATGAGTCAGCATAAATTTTGTTATTTATTCAGCTACATGATATAATCAGGAACAGGAAACATCCCTTACATATAACTCACATCTGATCCCATATGGGTGTGCCAGGCCCTCTAGCAAAAGGTAATGTTGAGCTTGATAACCTATTGATAGGAAATGTGCTCAAGGTTTCAGAATTTCATAAAAAAATACATCATGTTAATAGTAAAGGTTAAAAAAAGGATTTTCCATAACCGGTAAACAAGCCAAGGAAATTATAAGGAAATATCCTACTTATTCTTTTTAAAATCAGACTTCACTACCAGCAGGATATAACTCAGAGAGAACTCAGAGGAATGAAATCTGGCAGATGGATGTGTTTCACTTTGTATATTTTGGAAAATTAAAATATGTACAGCACACTATTGACACTTATTCAGGATTTCAATGGGCAACTGCTATGAGTTCTGAAAAAGCTGAATCTGTAATCACGCATTTGCTGGAAGTTATGGTCATCATGGGTATACCTGCACAAATTAAAATTAACAATGCTCCAGCATCTGTCTTTGGTACAATGAAATAGATTTTTGCTTATTACAATATAAAGCATATTACAGGTATACCACATAATCCTACAGGCCAAGCAGTCATAGAAAGATCAAACAGAACTCTAAAGGATATGCTAAATAAACAGAAAGCGGTAACAAAAAAACCAGAAATAGACTGCATAATGCTCTATTAACTTTGAATTTTCTCAATGCTAACGAGAATAGAGCAATAGCTGTGGAGTGACATTGGATAATAGAAAAAACTACTGAGTTAAATCAGCCTATATAATTTAAAGGTGTGCTGACCTCAGAATGGGATCCAGGATATGTGTTACATTGGGGACAAGGTTTTGCTTTTGTTTCTACAGGAGAAGGTAAGCTGTGGATACCATCAAAATTAATAAAGGTTTGATTTAAACAAGAGAGACCTCTTAATTAGAAGAGGTGATAGTTCATCAACCAGCATGATCATCCAATTAAAGTTAACTTATATCACTAACAAATGCTTTTCATTTAATCAGATGTAACTTGCCAAAAGGGGACCTCCCCAAAGTTAGGCTTGGAGAAGGGGTATTGTTTTTGTCTTTCAAGAGAATGACAGCTAAGGAATCTGAAGAATACTGGACAAATGAGACATCTCAAGAAAAGGGACAAATCACCCAGAAAAAAAAAGTCTCAAGAAAAAGAGTAAATTGCCCTATTGTTTTTATCACATATAAAATTTCATAAGTCTTCCTAAATATTTGTTTCTACTCTTCTCTCCAGACACTTAGCATAACCCTAGGGTTTTCCCTGCTCTTGGAAGTTTTGGGAGGGTCAGGATTAAAAATACATTTCAAAATTTTTAAGGTTTATTTTTCTTTTTCTTTATGTATGTATTGTTCACTTGTGTGTATTTGTACATGTGTGTGGGTGTAGACACATAATAAGGCATATGACACCTTTTCAGAAAAAATAATAGGTGCCTGAGTTAACCACCGTCGAAAGTGGGGAAGGCTCAGTAACTCTCTTCCTGACAGATTCCCATATGCCTTACAATGTATTTTGTGTGTTTCTAAAAGTTGATTACTTGGCTGTCCAAGGGTTTGTCAGTATAGATAAAGAGACAGAGACCCCGAGTCTGCAGCACGCTAATGCAGGAAGCTGGAGTCTTTATGGTGGATGTGGAAACATGGAAGGCACTTGACATTTGTTTTTTGTTTTTTTTCTTTTTTGGATTTTCAAGACAGGGTTTCTCTGTGTAGCTTTGCGCCATTCCTGGAAAGCACTATGAAATCCAGGCTGGGCTCAAACTCACAGAGACTCACCTGACTCTGTCTCCCGAGTGCTGGGATTAAAGGTGTGCACCACCACCAACAGGCTTGGCACTTGACGTTCGTACTTGGGCCTCAGAGGACAGTTTTTTCTCTCGCTGACTGCCACACAATTTCTAGGAGATCTCTGCATTATAATTTCAGAGGGGGAAGAGAACAGAAGGCAAAGAAAGAAGCAGCTAAGAAAAAAGAAAATGGGATGGGCAGTGTCAGCTCTATTTAGCTAAATCCCAAAACTTGAGCTCCATATATCTTGGGACCCTGAATGAAATGCCTTGTTCACAGCTTCCTTAACCATGAAATGGGATAACACCAATGGCACAGGACAGGGATGCCATCAGGGTTCATTGAGTTACTTGCAGAGTTTGACATCCTT